ATACTCCTGTTCACTTCTCTGACAGAACTCTGTTCTGTCCATCCAGATCCTTGGGCCCCGACTCAAGGGTGACATTGCCAATAGCTTCGTCAATGCCCACGCACTCTGCCAGACTCCGCGCGTGCACTCAAGCCCACTCGATTGGCACGTTCCTAACAGGCACATAGTAAGATAAAGAAAATAGGGGCTCTCAGCACCTCTTGACATTCTGTATTACTTCAGCTACTCTAATCTCTGCTCATGCTCTGTCCACTAGATCTCTGATATGTTCTGGCAGTGCAAGATATCAAAGTCCTTTGCTGATGTCTAATCAGCAGATGTCTGCCATCTGCTGCTCTCTAAGCCACCAGTAGTATCCAGGCAGATTCTTCTGTCACATGGACTCACCAGTTGAGAATATATTCATATCCTCTACTTGGCTCATATGGGTCTACTGTTCCTGATTCAGCAGACTGGTACTTACTCTCTCTGAGGCTATATGCATTGACTCCAAAGATGATCTGACTGATGTTCTGCTCTTAGATCAAGAGGCTTCAGAGTGTGCTGGCTGTAAGACTGGACTTATTCACCTGCCTAGAGTAGAGCCCAGATAGAGCTTCTGATGTATGCCCTTGGTGATAGTCAGCAGTGGAGGTGGCCACATCTCTCATTGGGGGTTGGCTTGTATAGCCATCATCCCCTCATACTGACTCTTTCTTGTCAGAGGTAGCCAGTCAGATAATAAGAGGAGGGGATTCAAATCCTCCTCTTTCATTTTGTACACTTTCAGATTCTGGAGATTGGATGATATAATTTGTGCTGCTGATGTCTGTGGGTTCTGAGGCTGATGGCTAGATGATGATGCTCTCCCAACTCAGGAGTGTGAGATACTAGTTGGAGGGCTTGACAAAGAAAATCCACTCTTTATTGGTTCTGCCACTCCTCCAGTTCTCTCCTTCTTCTTCATTTCCTTGGTAATCATATGATATGATATCTGATAATTTCTGTTACTGCAATAAACAGGCAAGTGCCTGCAATGGAGGTGGCAATAATATTTCTGAGTATGAGTTTTATATGCTAGTCCTAGGCAAAGTGCTGCCAAACTAGGGCATGTGAAGTCTTGAGCTAATTGTTAGGCTTCCACTAACACTCACAAATTTCTAGCAATGCTTCCACCAGAGTCCAATTCTAGATGCTGAGTCTGAGTCTGATTTTGATATAAAGTATGATGAGGATGATGAGATAAGCTATAAGGATTTCACAGAGAGGGTTGAAGGGCTGTGGCTAGTAGATATAGTCTGCTATTGTGGCAAGAGTATTTGCACCAAATAGTCAGAGAGTGTAGTAGGTGTATTAAACCTTAGCTCAAGACTGAGATACATCAGTATGTACTACTGTCTTATATACTGTCTGAAGAACTCTATGCCCTATAGATGACTATTGTCTGCTTTCCATGGCCTCTGCTCATTGTCTGGGATAACAATGACTATGCTCTTGCTTTTGTTTATTATTGTTGCTCTGCTATACCATTGCTATGGTGAGTTTTCCATATACAGTTGACTATCTCACACTGCATGATGTCAAAATGCATAATTCTGACTTTGCATATGAATTGGGCTGGAACACAGTTGGGGAGCAGGGAAATGGGCTAGAAATGCATATTGCATAATGCATATGGTTCTAGTCAGGAATATGCATTGTCAGATCAAAAATTATAGTAAGCTGATATGACATTATGCATATATTAGAACAATAAAGAACATAATTTGTTTGTATGGACTATGACAAACATAAAAAAAATTATTGTAAAGCAACACAGCCTATATCTCTATAAACATGCCTCCTGAACCAACACAAAAACTGCATGCTAAACCTGAAAATCCATATGAGCATACAAAACAGAAGGAGAAAGTCCCAATATACACATCATCAGCTCAGCCTCCAAAGCAGATCTCCTGCCCACACCTCACAACAGAAGACTGGCTCATAGTATTCAAACATGTTGATAACCATCCTTCCCATTAACATGCTGACATTGTGGCACATTTCACAAACTGAAAGGAAGGTGCACTGCTCTTTACCCAATCAACTCTTTCATGGAAACTGGCATCTCATACAAAAATTGAACAGCATGCAAATGAGAACCCTAATGCACTATCATCCAAAAAGTCTTGTATTGTCACCCAACCTGATGTGGAGCATGCTGTTGCATCCTGGTATCAGAACATGCAGCTCTGAGATGAGACTGTGACTGATGCAATGCTGATAGAGAAGTGAAATTGAATTGAAAATTTGATGAATATTCCAGAGAATCAGTGTTTGAAAGGAGAGGGATGGTTGAGGTCATTCTGCAAGGCATGGAAGATTCAGGAGGTTCAGCGGCATGGAGAAGCAGGCTCAGTGGATATGATGGCAGTGGAAAAAGAATGTGTGCATTTTCACAGTATTATAGTGAAATATGCAATGCAGGACAGATGAAATATTGATGAATCTGGTCTTGTCATCTTTGCCATCCCAGATTGTACCTTGGCATCTGGTCCTATGAGTGGATGAAAACAGGACAAGTTCCACATCACCATGTGTTTTGCTGTGAATGCAGATGGGAGTGAGCAGATGCCAGTTGTTTTCATTGGCAAGTCAAAGCAACCATGGTGTTTCAAGAAAAAGAGTCCAACAGCAATGGGATTCTATTATTGGAATAACAAGAAGACCTGGATGATGAGTGAAATATTTATGGAGTGGATGAAGATGTTTGATTTAAAGATGAAGAGAGAGAGGTGGCAGGTTCTGCTGACCTTGGACAACTTTCAAGGGCATTCCATCACTTATACACCCCATAACACAAAGCTGGAGTTCTTTGAGCCTAATATGACTCCATATGTTCAGCTGCTAGATGCTGGTATTATCTGCTGCTTCAAGGCATATTATTGGAATGCCATGTGTATCCATGCACTTGATCTCGATGATCTTGGAGAGTCTGAGATTTTCAAGCTTGATCTTCTTGAAGCTATGACTATCACTCATGATGCTTGGGCAAATGTCAGCAGTGAAATGATAGCAAACTGCTGGAAACACACTGGTATAATGCCTGACAATGCACCTGAGTCACAGTCTACCACACCATTCAATGATTTCCAAGATGCCTCACTCCTCAAGTCTGCATGGAACCTTGTTTATGACTTTGCCTCAACAGACAAATACATGCTTTCAGGGATCGAACAGGCATTGCAGAATCTGCTTGGAAACCAATATGCTGATGCTGACTGGTGTCCTGCTCTTATGGCTGTTATGAATGCAGAGAACAATGTTGGTAAAGCACTGGAGGCAGTCAATCAGTTGGCTTCTTTGTCACAGTCAAAAATGAACACACCTCCCACTCAAATTGCCCCCATTCAACAGCTCCAGACAGCAGAGATAATGTTGAAGGATCATCTTGTCGAATTGAAACAATGAAATCACATGTTTGGTCCTATTCCAACCATTGAAGAAATGGTTAACTCTATTGCAGAAGAGTATACTGAAGATCTTGAGGTGATGCCAACAGATGAGGAGATTGTTGCTGCTGTCAAGCATGATATTGCAGTAGAAAATGGGGAAATAACTGTCATTGATGATGATGAGGAGGAAGAAGAGGAAGAGGAGGGTGAGGAAGAACAGACCTTGATAACTACAAGGGAAGGATTTGAGCTTATTCAAAAGCTGGAGGCATTTTGTGTTTCACAAGGTGACCAGGGTGGATTAGTACCACAGCTGAGGAAGTTGAGAGGGGCATTATTCAAGGAGATGCATGGAAAGCTGACCCAAAAGCCACTGACAGCATTTTGGGGCAATGACGACATTGTCACATAAAGTCACATGTCACATCATATGCCATTTTGGTTCTGCATAAATCTATAAATGCATACAGTTTTGGTGTCTCCCGACCATATGCATTGTGAGATAGTCAACTGTACTACAGTTCCTATTGTGTTCCAGATGTGGGACAGTGATAGTTACCACATTGTTTCTTGTCATCTTATTGTGCATCAATGAATAAAGTGTAGCCATGGTGTCATCATGTCTTCATCATCTTTTGTAAGGTTGGCCTGGGGTTGGAATTGGTAAGCATCTGCTTACTAAGCATTGGCAGGTCATGATTTAGAGGCAAAAATTGTGACAAGCATGCTTAGTACCAAATCAAATCCATGTCCATGATTGATCTGACAATAAAAGTGGATGCTCCAGCTAGTACCAAAGCTTCACATGCACAAATTGAATCAAGTGAGTACCTCTGGAGAGAAGAAGCTGCCAAGACCTAAGAGAAGGACTGAGCAAATGCCAAGACTGTATGATTGCTGATGGATCTTGATGATGATGACTCAGAAGATGTAATTGCCCTCAAAATCTCAGAACTCATGAATATCTCAGACAGATATGACTAGTGGGTCCCTGAAAACCATGATGAAGCAATCATCAAACAAGAATCTTGAAGGCCACTCATGGATGAAGAGATTTGTTGCATGGAAGAATGGAATATATGGAAAGTTGCCCTGAGAGAACCATGGATGAAAACAATCAATACCAGATGAGTGTATGACAAGAAGATTGATAGCTTCACTGTGGAATTACTAAGGTGAAAAGTGAGGCTAGTGGTGAAGGGGTTCACTCAGATCAAAGGACTGCACTACTTTGAGTCATTTGTAGCTGTCATGTAGTATGAGTCTCTACACATGTTCTTCACCATCATCACTGCTAAAGAACTTGACTTCTGACTCGTTGACTTCATTGATGCATACCTCAATGCAGAATCCCAGGGAGAGAACTATGTAGACTCGCTCAGCACATCCGGTATCGGGGACTTGTGAGTCATGAAACTTATTATGAAGCAATGCGCCTCATTCAGTGCGTCGGTTAGTCGATAATGACCCTCGGGTGACAGCCAGCGATGGCTCTTTCAAGGTCGACAATGAGACAAGACTCTCGTAGTTGGTTACTAGTACTGTGTATTTTGGTGCGATGGATAGGTAGGATAGTTACGTGTATCACGAGAATCCGGTTCTTATTGTTGGATTGAATATGGGTAGCGGATGTGCCTCCGTGTTGAACACATACTCTGTGCGTGGTCTTCAGGAAAACAGCTCGTAGGAATAGCATGAAATACGCACTATCCAGAGATAATACATTTGCGTCATCAAAAAGCAGATACAAGTACTTCAAGGTCTCGCTCTGGGAAAGATCATCAGCTAAAACTAACTTCCGCAAAAAAGTCACAAACCAGCAAGAACGTTTCCATCTTATCCTCGAGCCGTACAGGAACTTCGTCGACGTTGACAATCGTCGCATATCCGCCAGTCTCAACCTTGCAATACTTTTCGATCGACTGGAAAATTCTCCACCCAAAATCCCGGTACTTCTTGTCGCCCGAGAGTCGGTACGCCAGGAAGAGCGACTCCACCGTTTCAGGGCTGATTATCATTCAGTTCGTGGAACTCCGAAAAGTCCGGCCACGCACCGTAACATGTAACGGGCGTCGTAAGGAGGGAAAGCACCCGGTCTGAGTGACATACAGCAATGAGTGAAACGGGATAAGCCCAACTCAAGGTTCAGCCGCACCTAGCGCCTTTGATGTACCAATCGGAAGGGGCGCCGACTTTCTGATCTATTCCATCGCTAGGTATTCTGAAGTAGACGATCTCTGGTGCCAATCCACTGGGTGAAGTGAGCACCTTTGAGGGGTATGAAAGTAACAAGGCACGTACGTAGCAGTGTCGTGAGTATCCATGCAAGTCTTGATAAGGGCTGCTCCTGATTTCCAGTCTCGTAGCCCCGTAGGAGCGAGTTCCTGTCCTCTCGGAGGTACGGAAATGGTGTCGAAAAGAGCCCCGGCTGTAGTTGCTCCAAGCATAAGAGACCCTCCAATGAAGCAGACCAAATGGTCTTGTTTAGGAGTTAACCGCCAAGAGCTATGACCATCAGACAACGGAAGTGTAGTTGTACACTTCAGAACACGCACATGTCATTATTCCTGTTACGTTCAGGTATCAGCTCTGCGGTGTATAGCATTTTGGTGCTGGCACTCTTTTGGATGAGATACTGGTGAATTCCTTGCACAGTGTTGTCATACATCTGTATAAAATTCAGCGTATATTTCGGTAGTGATCAGAAATGGTACCTCGCGGTAGACATCCTCTGTTCGGTTCTAGAAGAAATCAGGATAAGTAGGCTATACCTGTACAAACTCACAGTTTGGATATATTGCTTTCTGTTGCGGGATCAATGGGGAGAGTATATTTTGGAATGACCCACTTACAGCAAATACTCGTAGTAAGAGTCACCCCTGGATCCCAGACGAATGGCCGATGGGACAAACTGACCCCCTTCCAGACTACGACTCGTTAGTCAAACTGACAACAATGTGTACAGAAAGGAAGGACCTCATGTAGATGGAAGCAAGACCGTGGGGCATTTTCGCAGCCTTGATGACTTTCATTACCTGATCGTCAACTCCGCATTATACTTCACATCTATAGCGATCATCACTCACGTTTTCGACTTTTTCCCAATATATGTCATTGTCAGTTAGGAAGCTTAAGTAGCGGAACTCTAGCTGTAATGTTGATATCTCCGCGGTGCTGACGAGCAGAGGGAGTTCCGAGTCTGGAATACCTTTGTGTTCCATCAGGTTTATCATTGGAAGGGGTAAACCAGTGGCTGTGTCGAACGCAGGCAGAAGGCGGTTGGCCAGGTCGACGGCGTGCTCAAGATAGAGGGGATCTTCACCGGATATGTGGTAAGCCGAGAGAAGCCCACCGAGAACACGTATGGTTGTCTGTGGATTATCTATCAGCTCCTGCGCAGCAGGTTGCATAATGGAAACATAATTGACCTCGAAAGTGCTGAAGCTTCCATTCTTTTCAAACGACAGCTTGTCTGCCACCCAGGTTCGCGCACGAGCATAATCATCGTCGAGACCCATGATCAGCATAGTGTCAATGGAATCTATGACAGTGTATCCAATTCCGCCGGTGTCCGTCAGGTTGGATCCATTCCGACTGATGGGATGATATTCGTCAGACCCCATGGCATCCCTCTCTATGGTCGCGTCAGCGGTGCACATATACGTCAGACGACGAGAAACGAACCATAGGCTCTCCATGCGTACTGCGAGAACGTGAATAAAATCCGCAGTAAGAGACGATGAACCCACTTTGAATGCCTCCACTACTGCGTCTCTTTTCGGTATGTCTGCACTCCTATTGGCGACCCGCACACGAATGCCAGCTCTGTACGAGGGTTGCCATGGATCTTCTCCTAGCCATGAATTGACAAGCTGAGTAACAGGACTGGGATTCTTCGGTATTTTGTGAGGAGAGATATAGCATAATAAGGAACCCATGCGCACAAGGTATATGAATGTCCCGAATGCAATGAGAAAGGGTATCCAGATAATCTTGGCATATTTTTGAACGGACGAGAAATCTACGTTCAGGTCATTGCTACTCTGAGTAAGAGTTCAGCAGGACATAAAGGATACGAGACGAAGAAGACGAACGGGTTCATGTTGAGTATGCTTGGCAGCCGGTTTCGAAGACGCCTTTTTCCTTTTCCTTGGCCCTGGGTCGGACATGAAGTTATTACAAACAAGAAAAGAGGTGAAATCATGATGCGCTTGCCACGTTTGCCGAGCCGTTCTTAAATAAACAAAGAAAGCACCTCTCTCTCTGCTCTTGTCCCTTTTCTCCTCGTTAGGCCTCAATGAGGCTTGTTTCTCTCCTCATCGTCGCATCATGGCTTGGGACGACTCTTGGGATACAGGAATCCGATGCCGGCATCATTGACTGGCACAAACTACTTGTCGGTGTACCTCTGGTGGATTCAACCTCGGCTGCGCCTATATTTCACCGCGTTGGAGGCAAGAACACGAAGAGCGTCATACTTACAGCAACCAAGCAGAATGTATTGGCTGCTTTGAATCCTGTCGACGGTTCAGTAGGTACGTGTTGACCGTGTCGTTGCGGTGGAAGGCTGACGAATACTTCAATGAAGCCTGGCGACATGTATTCGAGCCAGAAGATACAGTCGTAACATTTGAGAAGCAAGATACCAGTGCGTTCCTAAAGAGAGTCAACTACCTCTCCTTGACACAATTCTTATCTAGCTGTTGCGTCTCTTTCTGGGCCTGGAGGCGCGACTCTACGATCTTTTGACATTTTGAGTGGCCTTCTCTTGTTAGAAAAGCGTCTACATCCTCCGGAAACGAGTTTACCCTTGGAGCCTGGCCATACAGGATCAAGCATTGTTTTCACAGCTGATTCGGATATCATTGCCTTGACCAATGGACACATGGTTCAATTCATCACCAAGTCGGGGAACATACGCTGGACATGGACGTTGGAAGACCAAAGGTATGGTGTAATATTTAAGTACTGTCTGGTTACCAACCCCATCGGTTCCACTTGTAGTTCCCTTGTCATATACACCCACGTCATTGCCACCTCCACTGCCATATATGCTGTCGGGTTGGCTAAATCATATTCTTCCTACATTCTGCATGTCGCAGCCCTCTCACCCGAGTCCGGACAGCTTCTCTCAACGGCCCATGTAGCATCAAGTGTCACAAATCCTTCCACGGACCTCGCATTGCTAACCAGCAATACCGTTTCGCGGTTAGCATGGCTAGAACAAGGAGCATTGAAGTCTGTTGCACTCTCAGCGTCGTTAAAAGAGAAACCTACGACAATCAAGGGGGCAACCTATAGACGACTTCTCGACGTTGGTTTAAGCAAGCATGGCTACATGGTTGCCATCATGTCTGATGGAGCAGGGCGCGTTTTCAGATTGGAAGAAGATGGATCCGCCTTGAATAATATCTGGGAGTTTGAAGGATCTGTAAGTACATGCAACACACTCTGTCCTTGTTTCTCTCAATCCAACCTAGGCTTATAATTCTCGGCACTCGGAATCTTTGTATGCTGGTGGATTTGACAAGATTGGATATCCATATATTGGGCGCCTCTATTGGTCACATGCATTCAAGGTGAGTCGTCCTCTGTATGATTAACGATGATACATGAGCAATCGTAGTTTGCATCTGCAGAACTCCTGGCGCCACACCTGGCATCCGGAAAAGGGCTAGTGACCGGCTTTTCCTTCCCTTTTGATACCTACAACCACGGGGTCATAACCCATGTGTGTGATTTTTCTCTTCGTCAAAGAAGCCCTTTGATATCAGTTGATGTAGATAACAATGGATGCCGCCAATCCTTCTCCTTTCACTGTTCTTGGACGGTTCTTCTTGACTACGACTACGGGCACAGTTCAACTCTGGCAGCAGGACAAGCTGCAATGGACACGAGAAGAATCCTTGGCTTCTGTTCGCGTAGCCGAATTCGTCGAGTTACCTGAACACATTGTTACCTCGTCTCATGACCGGGATGAGCAATTCTCTGAGCGTGTACGAAGACATATATCCGACGCCCAAAACTTTCCGCGATATTTGCTCAATTTCGTCCGAAGGTTTGCGACTGGCTCGTATGCTTCGGCCTCGTCGTCTGTGGCTGCCAAGGATGGGTCATTATCTCGCGATGCGTTTGGATTCAGACAGATCATTCTCGTCGCTACCGACTTTGGAAAACTTTTTGCTCTCGACTCGAGTAATGGAAATGTTTTATGGAGCCGTATTCTCGGACTTGGATGGGCGGCAGAAGTTGGGGGCAAGCATTTACCCGTCAAGATTTTTGTGACCCGAACGGTGAGCGATGGAGAGTCACCACAAGCCGTTCTGGTTACGCAGAGGCGAGCAAACAACGTGAGTCTGGGCATTTTTATACAGAATGATTCTGACTTGTCTTAGGGTCTTCTGGACACTACGTTATTCCACTTTGACGCCTTGACAGGTCTCGATGCCCGTTCAAACGCAGAGAAAAGCAAGGTCTTGGAAGGAACGGACATACCTGAAGCCATGGTGGACGCCTTTATGCTTCACAAGGACGACACGAGGGTTATTATAGTCTTGGATGAACTACTACAGGTCAGTTTTCTGCGTATTTGTTTTTATCTTGTATCAATGACGTTCTAGGCGCACCTCTACCCTGACACTGATGAATCGAAGAAATTTCTGCTCGAAAATGGCTCCTCGCTTCACTTTCCGCTTCAAATGAACGTTCCAGATGGGCGCCAAGTTGTTGGACACCATTTAGCCGAAGTTCCATCGCTGAGCGGTTATCTTCTGGCAAGACCGACCTGGACGCTCTCACTGGCACATGGAGAGACCATCCAGTCTTTGGTTCCGGCTGCTCGAGGGCCAGTAGCGTCTATTGGTAAAGTACTGGGGAACCGGACGACACTGTACAAGTATCTGAATCCGCGGACATTTGTGGTCTTGACTGACGCTGTTGCTTCCGAGCTTCCGGGTTGTGGACTGTATGTCGTTGATGCAGCCAAGGGCACGATAATTTACCAAGTTTCTCTTCCCGCCAACGTCGGGAAGTGTGATATCAGGGCGACATTGACAGAAAACTGGCTGATTTATCATTACTACGATGAAGACTTTAGCGGCGTCGGACAAGCTAAAGGGTACAGAATGGTGACTGTTGAGCTGTACGAAGGTTCGCGGGCAGACGACAAGACACAAAGGTAAAAAAAAAAAGCTTGCCATTGATTATTTAAAGCCCAAACTGACATTTGCAGTTCCGAGTTGTGTGCGTATTCCAAAGACAACAGTGCCATAAGGGTGTTTGAACAGTCGTACGTGTTCCCGCATGGGATCTCTGCGATCGGGACGACGACTACCAAATTCGGGATCTCGAGCAAAGATGCTATTGGTGAGTGGTCGAGAGGGCCGGAGATGAAAAAAAGGATTGGCGATGACTTCGTTTTTAGTTGCGACGACGAACAACAAGGTTCAGTCGTTCTCGCGGCGACTTCTTAATCCGCGAAGGCCGAGTCAAAAACCGAGTTCTGAAGAAGCAGAAGAGCAGCTTGTGCAGTATGATCCTGTTCTGCCGGATGATCCACGACGGGTGCTATCGCATACGTACGAGGTATGGGTGGTTCTCTTCTTGTTTACGTTGCTGTTAAGCCGCGTTCTTATTATACAAACAGGTTGCCAAAATCAGACGCATCATTACCTCTCCGGCGCTGTTGGAGTCTACGTGTTTGGTATTTGTGTACGGACTGGACATGTTTTTGAGCCGAGTCGCGCCGTCGAAAACGTTTGACGTGCTGGACGAGAATTTCAACAAGGCGCAACTTGTGTTTACCGTTCTTGGATTAGCGGCAGCGATTGGGATCACGAAGCCCATTGTGCGGAACAAGAAGCTGAGGGAAAAGTGGTATCAGTGATAATCAATCTGATTGTACTCCGGCAATCTGATGTTCCGGTTCAAATGATATGACATAAAAAGAGGCACCGGCCTTGCTCCGATCGAGGACCATTGTTTTTGATCGAATCTAACAAGCACATGCTATTTGTTCCAAGATAGAGATATCTGTGATACATAAAAGTATATATATACGACGATTGCAATCCAGAGTTTTCAAAAAAAAAAGGGCAAAAAAAAGGGGTGGGGAAGATTAAGTCTGATACATTTACGCGTTTCCCAAGAATCACAATGTTCCAACCGACAGTCCGGCCAAGTCCAAGATAAATTAATGGATATACTAGATGACGACGGTGAGAGGGTGAATTAAAAAGAGTCGGCAGATTGGGCTCACACGAGATTAGAGTACGATATTTTCAAGGCTACTTTTGCGGCTTGCGCCGAATGCTGCAAGGGACTTTGTTTCTTCGCCGTCCATGCGCCAGATATTGTTAGTGGGGAGACTTATGCGCTCCTCGTATTCGTCAAAGCTGAGATCTGCAGAAGAGGTTGAGACGGGGGAGAGCATGGGGCTCTGGACGATATCCTGGAGGAAGGACGGGAGCAGGGGTGCAGGAGCATGGAGCTCGCGATGACCAGAAGTCTGGTAGATGGGATATGTATTGTACTGGGTGCCGAGTTCAAACTGGCTGTGGGAGCGATGAACGTGGCCACGCGAGTGTTGTGGCGGTGAGGTATTGATGAACGGTCGGTGGGCCTGGGGGGGAGTGAGTGAATGAGAGCGGACAGGGATAGGGTCGTGTGTCTGTGCGAGAACAGAAGTGAGAAGGGCGATTCGCTCGGCCTGGACGGCTGCAGAAATGGAATCGCCATTTCCTTCGGCGTCTGTCGAAAAAAGTTAAAAGACGGGGTGAGGTCCATAGAGTTATTCGAACGCACAGGGAAGACACGTCTGGCAAACTTTTCTGCGTCTCCAGTTGAGATAGTTGCATTTTTGACAAATCCAATCGCCGGGTTGCTGGGACGAGTGAGGTAAATAAAAGGACGAAGGGATCGGAAGGAGGGACTTACGTGAGAGATGGGTCCTCGGTTCCCGGTGTTCAGGATGGGTGGCTGCTGGCCGGGTGGTGAGGCAAAGTGCAAGGGGGACTGGGAATTTGAAACTTACTGGAATGCCTACGAGAGCGCTGGGTCGGATCTGACCTTGCTCTGGAAAGGGTTCATTGTCAGGCCAGTACATGATGCACGGGGACAGAGGGTCGCTGGAGATATTTTGGACCTTGCCACCGACGGCAAAGGCGCGTCCAGAGGGTGTGAGCAAGGGATGTACAGACTTTGCGGGCGCTGGAGACGGTGGAAAGGCTGGAGACTGGGGCGAATAAGCTGGGGACACTGGTGGCGGTGGCTGGAAGCGAGGAGAAGGCAATGTCGGGGTCGGCGGGGGCAGAGGTGCTTGGTAGAGCGGGGCTGGGCTGGAGCGAGGGCAGCCACAGCCGATACAAGCCAAGTTGCGTCTGTTGGAGAGCATTATTGGCAGTCAGAAAGAGCTGCGGATATGAAATGACTGACCCAAAATTATGTGCGGCACATTTCGGGGTACTGCAGCTGTGAAATACAATTGGAATATGGCAAACGGAAAAAGAGAGTAGCTCACATCCAATCGCCAAGTCTGAAGCTGGTACGTGGATTGGGTGGGTTGGAAGAAAGGGTATAGTCATTGGGCACATATTCAAGCATGGCTGATGGTGGTGGTGGTGGTGGTGGCGGGACGAGCGCCTAAAGAAGGGGTGAGAAGGGTCTCGAGGATATCACGTAAATGGTAGGTTACCTGGGTCTTGAAATGGAATCTGCGGAGCTTGTTGAATGGCTCGAGGTCGACGTCGAGGGCCGGCACAGCGCTCGACAACGACAACGCTCGACATGCCTACCCAACAATTTAAATAACTGTGGCGCTATCACGTGGCGACGCGCTCACCTCTTCGTGTGACTTGAACACTGCCCACACGCTGTCCCCATCCCGCAGTGTCCACATTGAAACTGGCATCACCTCCGCCGATTCTGGCGGGTGTGCAAACTGGAAAACCAGCTATGTAAGTTAAACAGCAGCGAAAGGAACAAAACAAAGGCAACTCACGCTGACGACTCTGGAGCGAGTAGCAAGGAAAAGCTGGAGGCAGCACCCGTTGGAAGAGGAAGGCATGCGAAGGGATTGGCATGCATCCTACTCTTACTCTTACTATATATCCCATTTCCCATTTCCCAGCCATCTTGCCAATTTGAATCCCTGCCCTCACAAATTAAGGTTACCCGTTATGTAAGCGACAGTTGCGACACTGCGAATCGTAGAAGTTTGAAAAAAAAAAAAAATATGTGCATATATATAATTTATTCAATTTATTCAGATCCGCGTTTCAGTGGCTCGCCACTGTCAACCAACACCGGCTCCCGTCGAGCTGCCCGCAAATGTCCATATATCGCCTGTTGAAGCTTCACCCCCACGATCCGGCTCACCCGACCTGCCTTGACCAGATACTGAGCATAGTTTCGCCACGCAACCGCCCCAGTTTCCTTCTCTGTCTTCACCGATCGTCCAACGCTCAGCGTGCTGATACTTCCAACAATGAACAGCCCCCTCTTCGCCCGCGTAAGCCCAACATTCAGCCGTCCTCGGTCGGCAAGAAATCCGATATGTCCTCCCGCATTGTTCCGTACAGTAGAAAATATGATAATCTCCTTCTCCCGCCCCTCGAATCCGTCCACCGTCTTGATCTCAATGCTCCCAATCTGCATCGCCCGGTGCTCACCCAGAACAAGCGAAAATCGCTGCTTGTATCGTGTATTCACATTGAACAACCGTGTCAGCAACGATATCTGCGCCGCGTATGGTGCAATAATCCCAATATCGTCCCCTGACAGTTCCTGTATCACCTTTTCAGTTCCTTTTTATTTAAAATATAAATCACCCCCGAAACATACCGGATTCGTCAGTAGCAGGTCCTCAACAACACTCGCCACAATGTGAGCCTCGTTCCAGTTCACCCGACTCCGATCCTTGCTCGACTCTGCCCCTGCATGATCAAGAAAAACAACAGACGGTCTCTGCCCATTCCTGTCCTTTTGCAGATGCTGCGAATTCGGAGGAGCAAGCCGCGACAATATGTTCCCCCCAGTATCGACCGTCCCGTCCAGCAGACTCGTCCCATAAAACTCTAGCGCCGGAAACGCAGAAATTGCCGGATGCATCCGATACTGGATATCCAGCATGATCGACGGAATCATCCCCTCGACGATGAGCCGTTCAAACAAACTCATATCTAATTTCATCGACTTGCCCAATCGACTCACGATTACCGGCGGGAGTTGTTTGTGATCTCCAATCAGTGCAACATGCCTAGACTGCAACACCCTCCATCAGCAGCGTTTCAGAAAAAAAAAATTCGTTACTCACTCCTTTCATAAGAGGAACCAACGACGCTGGTTCCGTGGACATGGACGCCTCGTCTAGAAACACTACAGGAAAGTCCGTCGCCTCGAGGACGCGAGATGCGGCAGTCAGACATGTCGTACAGATCTGGGACGCTCGTAAGAAACAAAACATTCACAAAAAAAATCCCATCCAATCCACGTACCACATCAGCGTTACCCAGCACATCCTTGGTCATCTGTTGCGTCAGCGCATACAACTTGCCCTTCAATGTCTGGATCCGCTCCTCATTTTTAGCGATCGCCTTTAGCATTCCATCAAGCCGCTGTACGAGGTCCGTCCGTCCATCGTTGACCTTTTGCGCCACTTCCTTGGCCCGGAGCTGTGTTTCCTTGACCTCGTCTTCCAGCATCTTGATGTCTTCCGAGACTTTCTCCGCCCGAGAATACAGAGGATGATTCTGCATCTTATACTCGAAAGTATACGATTCGATCGCAGATCGCGTCTTGCCGCCAAACGCAACCCGGATAGGATTGACTCCAGCAGCGACAAACCCTTCGACGAGGTTATCCACAGCGACGTTGGTGTACGTACACACCAGAATAGGTTGCGGGGTCTCGAAATGGACCTGTAATATACTCAGATCGTATGAATACATACACCGTAAAAACCATTACCTTGAGCAGTTTAATCGTTTCGATAATTGTCTTTGTCTTGCCTGTCCCAGGAGGCTAGTACCCGTCAGTAGAGGGAACCAACACGACAAGCGACCCACCCCTTGCACCAAACTAAAGCGCTCTCCAATCATCTGCGCCATAGCCCTGACCTGCGTCGCATTCAAACCATCAATAACCGGATCACCCTCTACAACCACAGGATTCGGCCGCATATACCTCTTCGCCCAGCTATATATGAACTGATCATCCTTGAACATCCCGCCCGTGTCAACATTCTCTTCTATATCTCCTCCGTCATACCCACGCAGTATCACATCCCTCAAATGCGTCCCATTGAGTATCTCCTCTCGATCAGTCGCCATCACCGCTTCCTGCGACTTGACATGCCGATGCAGGTGGCCGATAGCTTCACGCATACGATTATGCACAAGCGACGAGTGGCCCACGTCCAGCCGCCAGGCGCCCTCAAGCTCGGGATCATCAAACACCGCGTCATCAGGAAAGGACACCTTGAGCTGCAACGGTGTACGTGAAATGAGCGAGCCTTTCGCGGGAACGGTATCCAGCGGAGCAATACGAGATACGAGAACCTGTGTACCGCTCCTAATTTTTTTTTTTTTTTTTTTGAAAAAAAAGCAATTAGTTTTGCCCATGTCAACGAGAGAGGTAAACTACTCACTCGAACCGGTTCTCAGGCAACTCTACGCCAGGCCCACGCGTAAACGTCGCCGTCCGTCTCCCAAAGTGTTTCTCCTCGAGCCAAAAGGCAGTCATATCCGTAAGGCAATACCCCTCCTCGGTAAGCCGCTCCGTGGACCAGGTAGACAGCCGCTGGTGAAGGACTGCCTCTTCCGCCGCGATCTCTTGGTCGAGGAGACTGTTGAAACTAAGAGAACAGAGTCAGCGACATACGCCGCGTCCAGAGGAAAGAGATACGCACTTCTCGCTATACCTGAGGACTGTATGATAATACGGTTCATGCTCTAGCAGGCTCGTCATCTGAGGCGGTATCCGTCTCTTGTGTTTTCGTTGCTTGGCAACCTTCTCCCTCGATATGGCGCGTAGCCGCCAATCAAACCGCGGTCGTATAGGCTTTGGATCTTCCCTGGGGGGCGGCTCAGGCTCAGGGTGCTTGTAGCTCGCCAGGAAATCCTCCGTCTCCACAAGCACCTTTGCCTGAGAATGGTATAACGCCCGTCGCGAACATGACGGCCTGCTGCAAAAATCGCGAAGCCTTAGATGGACAGGACTGAGTGGAGCCTTTTGTCGGTGGGAAGAAGTGGAAACTAGGACTCTTTCGGTGGATATGGTTGCATTTCTGAGGATACGAACGAGAGCCAGTGCGAACGAGTGAAAATGAAGGAAAAGAATGAAATGATAGAGCGAGGTCAAAGATTTTTTCTCAGCCCTATTAGGCCTATTACTCTTCGGACCGTAAGTCACTCTTATGTCTCCTGTCACGTCACGGGTATTCTTTTCTTTTTTTTTTTTCTTTTTTCCAATGCGACCGCCAAGCGTAATCCGTATTGAAACCCGTAACGTCTCTTCCTCACCGTACGGCCGTACCCACGTCTGGAAACGACGCCAACCCGTCCTTCCGAACCCTGTCGTCCCAAAATTTCCGCAGCGGGTCATCCGCTCGGACGGGAGCTCTTTCACGCACTGGACCACCTCTCCGCGATCCCTCCTCCGTCTTACGCGGGACGTGACGAACAACCCGGTATGGAATACGGGTCTCTGGGCTGACGAAGGTGCGATGGAAGACGAGGCGAATGCGCAAGGGAGGCTGGGTCGGTTCAACCGACGGTTTGACGGTGTGGGAGGTGCAGGCAGTGATATTGACTGGATGGCTGGGTCGGACAGTGAGTCATCTTCGGGAGAGCTGGTGGATCCGAGCGAATATATGATAAAGGCGAAAAAGACAAAGAAGAAGGGAGGGTCTTAGAGCGCATTCGATTCATTAACAGTACAACTTGACGTTTCTTTCTACGTTAAATAACGTCCCACAGTGAAACCGCTTTCACTTTCACTACTACCCTTCATCGACCATCTCATCAGCCAAATACATTGCCAGTTCGAGCTTAATTCTAGCTAGGCCGTCCTTCGGTCCCGCTCGCTCTCCTATATAGCCAAATAAACGTAGAAACGGAGATGAAATATAATGCGCCCAGGTTAGATACATGAGATAAGTTATGTAGAGTACAGAACTGAGGTTGAGTAATGTCGCTTGACTCTGTACAATGTCATCCTCCGGCCTTGCCAAGCAGCCCATACCCGCTCCCCTGCGGACCATGCAGCTTGCTATAGCACCTACCACAAAGCGGTGTCCCGTCGTGGTCTCGTAACCGCGTAGAGTCGAGAAGCGTATTGCACTCCATGCATCGCAGACAAGCCTTGTGATACGTCTTGCCCACCGCTTTGACCTAGTCCGAGTAAACACCCGTCATAACGGAACGAGTTCCCGCTTACCTGCTCCGCAAAATAAACGAGTCCGTTGCATTTGGGACACCTCGGTGTCGTCGAAGCCCCTCCCCACTTCTTTCCTGTCGTCTGAGGTGAAACCGTACCCAAAGCGGCGCCATACCGAGTACCCGTCGAGGTCTGGATCAGTGGCTTTGCGATGCGGTTAATCGCATCCAGAGTATTGTTCCGCTCAACCGTTGAAGCAAGGGTCGGCGAACCAGAAGACAAATCGTTGAGTGTATCCTTCTCTTCCTCTTGTTCTTCATGCCCCTTGGTATCCGGTAGTTCCGCGTTGCTCCGTGTTGGAGATGCAGCATAAGGGAGGTTGGCTTGCCGCAGATCCCGGGTGCCAAAGTTCTGTACATGGCACGATTTGCTAGATGGTGTCGGTGTCAGTTTTTTGAAGCGCATATGAACGCGTACCAGTAGGGCTGCAAGATTGAATGAGATCAACACAACAACGGAAACACGAGGCGCACCTCTTGGTCGTGTTCGAGCAAGGTATACGAGTCGAGTCGCTTCTTGCAGGTCGAGCATTTGAGACAGGGCTGCAAGACATTGAACACGATGATGGTCATTAGACTTGAAAGGCTACCTTGTGATAAAGCTACGGAAATGATTAGCGTGCTGTGGGGTAGTGGGGAATAGACTCGCCTTGCGGCCGGGGCCCATGACCTAGACGGGTGTAAATGATAGATAAATAGAAATAACACTGGCGACGGACCTGCTCAGCGGCATATACGACCTTTTCGCAGCGAGGACATACTGGGGTGCCGCCAAATGGATGCATGGGAGTTGGGAGTCAAGTGAAGCTGTGCCGGAAGCGGTGGCGGAGTTTGAATACACGTGGTGAAAAAAATGACGGGCAAGGGATAGGTTGACCTTCTTAACTTTGCAGCGTCCCATCACCCATCACCCATCTCCCATCTTCATCTTCCTATTTCCTTTTATTTCCCTGTTAAAAATGTCTGACGATGAGCATCACAACCAAACCTTCGAGCAGGTCCGTACTTGCTCTCCGTTATCAACAAGATCCCTCACATCAGTTGTTTCTCTTCGTTCTTTGTTTTTGCTTTTTTCTTCCTCTTCCAGGCCAGCGCCGGTGCGTCCTTGACGTATCCCATGCAATGCTCCGCCCTCCGCAAAAATGGATTTGTCGTCATCAAAAGTAAGCTCCTAATCCATTTTGATCGATTACCACCGTCGTCTGACCTTCTCAAGACCGCCCTTGCAAGATCGTCGAAATGTCCACCTCCAAGACTGGCAAGCACGGACACGCCAAGGTTCATCTTGTCGCCATCGATGTCCGTGTTTGCTCTTTGCATCGTCCTTGCCGTCGTCGTACTGATCGATGACCACAGATCTTCACCAACAAAAAGTTGGAAGATATCTGTCCCTCCACCCATAACATGGATGTCCCTAATGTCCAGCGTAACGAGTACCAGCTCGTATGTCTATTTTACCTCCCCATCCTCGCTGTACTCATTTTTCCCACCCTAGGTCAACATTGACGAGGGTTTCCTCAACCTCATGACTCAGGACGGTACCCCCAAGGACGATGTCAAAGTCCCTGAAGGTGACCTCGGTGGCCAGATCAGCAAAGACTTTGACGATGGCAAGGACTTGCTCGTCACCATCATCTCTGCCATGGGTGAGGAGCAGGCTATTTCCTACAAGGAGGCCCCCAAGGGCTTGTAGCCGGCCGTATGTATCTTATCTCATGCTCCAGCACTTGTTTTCACTTTCTCTTCCATTCCAGTGCCGCCGGCTCTTCCCTTCTTGCCCTCCTCTAACCTCTCGGAGTGTGATATGGTGTCGTTTGCACTTATAGTTATCCCTCGTTTGCGTCCAACATTCTTCATTGTAACGATGGTGTAGATCAGCAGTTATTGCAATTTTGTGACAAGTAATCCTAACGATTGAACTGGCTCTGTCATTTGACGAGCTACAAGAGATGTCGTCAGGTCTGGCCGCATACAACACCATATCGGTAATCCATCCATCCTTTTGCACTTCTCAGTTTCTTGGTATCCGCGCAGTAGGCGTATGCAACTCGGACCGTTGACCGCTTAGATTAGGAGTCCCGTTGCTCGGCCTGTACGTTTCCATCACTACTTATTATGATGCTTTGCTTTATCCCAGACAGCGAACCTCAGAGCTGCGATCACTTGTACCATGACTGAGTGCGCACCAGGGCTCACTGTAGCAAGTAGCCATTTAATTCATTGCTGATGCTTGCCCCAAAGTTGTGCCCATGATCTATTTTCCATCGCTACCTAACATCTTAATATACACATTTTCTCCGCGGCAACGCACTGCGAGGCATCCAAACAACTTTGTCCAGAGGGAGGGTTTCAAATTCGACTTTTGGGACCGAGAAGGGTTTGGGACTTGCTTTCAGTAGATCGACCTCAGGCGGCACCGTCCTGGGGAGCCGATGATGCCATACATGAGCAGTGTCGCCGAGCTCCGCTGAAAAGAGGTGAAGCGTCGGTGTTGAGTCGAATTGATGTACCAGACTTTAATCTCTGGCTCGAAGTCGAATATCCCGTCAGCGTATTTCCGTACTTCCTCGGCAGGAAGAAACTCCAGAATCACCGGCATCTTGTTTTTATCCAGCTGGCAGAGATGCGGGTTTTATTGAAACAGATAGTCGTGCATGATCTTGGGACTAACGATTCGACCCATTTGTAGCTGGTTATCTCGGTATCGGTGAGCAAGGGTAAGAGGTTCAGAAAAGAACATATAACCCTCCCCTATGAATGTACTAGCTAGACACCAGGTCATCAGAGCATGCATCAGTCGACGGAGAGGCAGCTAGAAAGAGATATGACGCCCAGATGCAAGAGTAGGGGTTGATAGTACAATGAAGATCGGAGGTGTATATGCTTGATAATCTGGGCATCTGTCTCTGAAGGGTGATCCTCCAGTCGCTCAAGGTACGCCAACTAAATTGCGCCGTCACCACAAAAGATATTATTCATTAATTCAGCTGCCAGCTGGAAAAGAAACTTTTCCGCTCCTGTCGCCCCAACAGATGGGTAAAGCTTTTGGCCATCTTCAACAAGAAATATAACTTTCATATACTTTGCTCTTATAATTAAAAAGAGGAGCATTGAGTACACGATCGGAGACCCCTGCTTACTGTTATTTGAAACTCAAATATTCCGATCAAGTTATTAGTACCGAGCAGTGAGTGACCGGTTTCCCACCACTGCCTCCCCACCATCATGGCAGCTCATCTCAAGAAATCCGTCTGGTTCATACCAAACATTTCTAGTTCTATCACCGCGTCTGATATCCTGCGCGCATTTCATCAAGTATCTGAAACTGGATGGGATATCGACGTCACGGTCAAGCCATACAGAAAGCGTGGCGGCGGCGCCAATGACCCTCTGACTGGTTTTTTCGCGCGCGTCAGGTTCAAGTTCTCTAGTGCTGGCTTGAGTGCGTACATCATAATTTGTGTAGACTCCCCTACTTACTCTCATTGGTCATGCATTAGCCGAAAAGGCGCTTGTGACTATGCACCAGCAAATCTCTATACCCGGTTCTGACTTTTTGGTGGCATTTTCTCTCCACCCAGAGAGCGCCCCGTTTCCCCCACAAGGTGGAATTCCCCGGCTAGTGAAAGGTCTTCCTCAGGGGTACACGGCCGGTCGACTCTATGATCTTTTGCGACCAAAAACCTCTGTAGCGTCTATTCGTGTCCACGTTGATTTTACGTCAGTGTGGTTTAACAAAGAAGAGGACATCGTTGAGTCAGTACTGTTAGAAAACGGCTGCAAGCTCACGTTCCACGCATATGAACCTTTAACGTTGTTCTGTGCCGTGCGTGTACTTTCCATTTAATGTAGTCCAATAACTGGATTCTGAGTTCTAGGGCTTGGCGCGGGGAACTGACATGGCGATGCTTAGAAATGCATTCCTAGATGTTTGTGCTTCTTACTAACAATGAATTGTGGCCCTACTGACGCTTTCTACAGTGTGAAGGTATTAAAGAGTAAGCCAAGTTATCCCAAAGTCCTGATCACCTATTCTCACGAATGGATGTCGCCAGCATAAGCATCCCTCGGCAGAACAGAGGCTCGGCATTCGCATTTGTGTCTTTCAACACCGCTGATCAGGGTAAGTCCTTCTTTCTCTCTGTGCCTCGATGTTAAATGGGTATCCTGTCCCTTATGTTAGCTTTTATCGCAAAGAAAAAGGTGCACGGAACAACCGTCAACTCTCGGAGGATCAGTGTACAATACAGGGAGCACAAGAGGGCACCTGTCAAAGAACAGAAGGCCGAGAGTGTATGCGTCTATTTCGTGTCGTGTTTATCACAGTCGTTTATGACGGACAACAAATAGCCGGACGAAGCCAAAGAAACAGAGCTTCTTCCCTCTTCTGAGGTGCCTAAAGCAGAGGTTCAGCAGACCCAGACGACATCGGACGATTGCAGTCGGATAAAGCACATAGTGGTCGATGGCAAAGTCTCCGATCAGTGGATTGAGATATGGAAGAATGAAGCCGAAAGTTCAAAGGCCGAGCTCGTAAAAACGCGCGGACGAGTTGTTGTGCTAGAAGAGCAGTTGCAGCTGTTAAAGGAAGGAAGAGATAAAAAACTTGCCGACATTCAACGCTTGAACGAGCAAAACACCAAGTTGAAGAAGGATCTGGACGTGCAAATGAAGGCAGAAGATAGGGAGAAGTTGCAAGTGGAGATCAACGATCTGAAACGTAGACTGGAGCTGTCAGAATCGCGAAGGAAGATACTCGAAATGCAAGCCGACGCGCCGATGTGGCAGGAAGCGAAGAAGAAGCGGGAGGCGGCGGAGAGGAAGGTAGAGGCGGAGAGGAAGAGGAAGGCAGAGCTGGAGGAGTCGAAAAGAAAAATGAGGGAGATACAAGAGACGGAGGCCCGCCGAAAGAAAGAAGAAGAAGCCGCAAAGAAGAGGGAGAAAGAGAAAAAGGAACGGGAAGAAAGGGAAGAGCAGGAGAGGAGACAGGGAAAAGCGCGCAAGGAGCAGGAATGGCGGGAGGCAACAGTCAAGGAACGCGCCCGGTTGAAGATGATGGCTAACAACCTCTGGGGACTTGGCAAGTGGTCCGATAGACGCGCTCTCGACCGTGTCCAGATGCTTATGGACGAGTTTGAGAACATCAAGTTTTCAGAGAGTCAGCCTGCGACATTTGAGGTTATTCCGTGGCCTGTACTGCACGACCCGCTGCAACTCAAGGTGGGGCAGGTTGATTGGGCTGGGGTGGAGGCCTTTTTTGTGACAGCGAGGGCCGAGTTGGAGGTAGCCGAATACAAGAAGATGGTCGAGAGGCTGCATAAGATGTTTCATCCGGATAGGTGGCGGGCGAGGGCAATTTTGAAGACGGTGTTCGACGAATTTCTCCGTCATGCATTGGAGGAAGCAGGGAATACTGTATCGCAGGCGATGACGCCATTGTGGAGGGCTTCGAAAGCGCTTTGAGGTGGTCTTCTAAGAGTATATTTTATCTATCTGCATCATCTTCGAAGGGATTTCTGGCACTTGTACTACTAGTTGTATCTTATGGTATATGAGCAGGCGAACTGTTGACAGTCAATTATCATCAGGCGATTCAAGAATGCTCCTTAGGGTCATATGGAAGGCTTTTTCCAAAAAAAAAAGACGAGCTGCAGAAAGGTAACGATGCTAGACGGAGGTACGGAGAGTCACGGATAACGTCGACAAAAGTACGTGGCCGTGGCGGCACCAACAGTTACCGGCAACAACGTACAATTGCATAAGCAGGTGTCTGATAGAGCCAGTTGTGAACAATCACAAATTACAAATGCAATGTGGATTCTCAGATGCAGTGAAAGGACCACATGAGTGAAGTTCCCTGGGATACGGACACGCTGAGATGGCACGTGATCGTATCAGCCTTGCGATAGCCACAAATAATCTTCTATCGCCGAGTATCATTGGCACATGGCATCCATCTCGTACCGAGATTCCATTCGATGGATACCCGATGAGGCCAGCGAACCCACCGATACCATCGTCTTGTCTTCTCTGAAAAGCAACGTCTTCGTGGACGTAAGATTCATAAAGGGTACGAAGGATCTCGACTGGGCGTTTGCTGGATATCGATCTGCATGTGAGTAACATGGCATAACCAAATGCAATGAAATTGACCTGTGCAGTGGGCCCAAATGCGACTCAATTCGTTCATCTTATCGATTCTCGCACATTGGTAAGCCTCCGAAGGTGATCCTGGCTCGTTGCTTCCTCACATTTGCTCGTAGGATGCCCTCAGCGTTGATGACCAGGGAACCAACAGCACGTTGCCCGACGGTAGGACATTAGAAATTGGGGAAATGGTGAACCCTGCGACGGGAAAGACGACGGCATACGAAGAAATCTGGCGAGAAGAAACGAGCGACCAATTTCTGTTTGCCAAGAACTACGAAGGTACGACATGGCGGGCGAGAGTCGGACGATGGCAAGTGGCCCTTGGACGTAGCGTAGACGGTGAATTCTGGGCATGGCAGGCAGAGAAGGACAAGAACGGGGCGTGGTTGGTAAAGAATGGTACAGAAAACGCAAGGCAGCATATCGACTTGCTGCCAGACGACATGATGGTGCTCGACAAGAACTGGATCATAATTTAGGCTCTTATTTGTTCGAACCAAATAAATCGCCTATATAAGCACCGATTTTTTTTGAGGCTAGGCTGGCACTTCCGCCCACATGCCCGCTCAGCAATCCTCATTCCTCGACGCTGCCTCTGCCATTGAGCACCTTCAGTCCTACTCCCGTTCAGATGGCCTTTCCATAACCGACCTCATGGACTCTCAGGTCCATGGCGGTCTCACCTACAATGATTTCCTTCTTCTCCCAGGCAAAATCAATTTTCCTGCTTCTGCCGTTCTCACTGAGAGCCGTGTAACTCGCAATGTCACCCTCAAAACTCCGTTCATCAGTAGCCCTATGGACACGGTCACAGAAGGAGACATGGCTATTTCCATGGCGGTAGGCGTCGTTACGGATACACTAGCCAGTGTGTTCTAACATCTATGCTAGCTCCTCGGTGGTATTGGTGTTATTCATCATAACCAGTCACCACAGTCCCAGGCGTCGATGGTTCGTGCTGTAAAGCGACACGAGAACGGCTTCATCACCGAGCCTGTTGTGCTTTCTCCCTCCAACCTTGTTGAGGATGTTCTAGATATCAAAGCCCGACTCGGATTCTGCGGTATCCCTATTACTGGTGAATTCCCTTTGCCATGTCCCCTGCATGATGAGACTTTCTTTTTTATAAACCTTCGTTCTTCCGAGTTTTAACGCATGTTCAATGCGTGGTGTGCGGATACCTGTTATTCTTTTCTGAATCTCCCTATTCTTCTTCTCCCGCCAATACATGCTGACCAATTCACTACAGAATCCGGTGCACTGGGTGGCGAGCTAGTGGGCATAGTCACTTCTCGTGACGTCCAATTTCGTGACCCCGCCACGCCTCTTTCCGATGTTATGACCACAGATCTCGTTACCGCTTCCCAAGGCATCACTCTCATGGAGGCCAACGACATTTTACGTGACTCAAAAAAGGGAAAGCTTCCCATTGTCGACTCGCAAGGCCGTCTAGTCTCGCTTCTCGCACGTTCGGATCTCTTGAAGAATCAGTCCTATCCCCTTGCCTCCAAAGACCCTGTGACGAAGCAGCTGTACGCCGCCGCTGCCGTAGGCACGCGTCCATCAGATCGGGACCGTCTTACTCTCCTGGTGGAAGCAGGCTTGGATATCGTCGTTCTCGATTCCTCCCAGGGCAACTCCGTATTCCAAATCGACATGATCAAGTGGATTAAATCCATGTACCCTAAACTCGAAGTCATCGCAGGCAATGTCGTCACTCGTAAACAGGCTGCGTCCTTAATAGCTGCGGGAGCCGACGCCCTCCGTGTCGGCATGGGTTCAGGCTCCATTTGCATCACACAGGAGGTCATGGCCGTGGGGAGGCCACAGGCAACCGCAGTATATGCCGTGGCGGAGTTTGCGAACAAATTTGGCGTGCCGGTCATTGCTGACGGTGGGGTTGGGAACGTAGGTCATATTGTCAAGGCTCTGGCATTGGGTGCTGGAGCCGTGATGATGGGTGGCCTCTTGGCTGGGACGGAGGAGGCGCCGGGAGAGTATTTCTACCATGAGGGAAAGCGAGTCAAAGCATACAGAGGCATGGGTAGTTTGGAAGCGATGGAACAGGGCAAATCAAGCTGTGGGCAAACAAAAGTTAATGGCGCGCCCTCTACCGGCGGATCGAACAAATATCCCATCCTAAAGAAATCGACGACCCTCGAAAATGCAGCCACGTCGCGGTATTTCTCCGAGAGCAGCGCCGTAAAGGTTGCGCAGGGCGTCAGCGGAGATGTGCAGGACAAGGGAAGCGTCAAGGCCTTCCTGCCGTATCTGTATGTCGGTGTGCAGCACTCGTTCCAGGATATTGGCGTCCGGAACGTACAGGAGCTGAGGAGCTCTGTCAAGGAGGGCAAGGTGCGGTTCGAGCTGAGAACTGCCAGCGCGCAGGTTGAGGGTGGAGTACATGGACTGAACTCGTATGTGTTGGTTTTTTTTCACTGGCTTCCTTGCTGATGATACCTCCCAGCTACACGAAAAGGCTTTTTGCCTAGATTATGACTCATGTAGCATAGCTGTACGTTACCTTAGAATACCGATATACACATTTGAACCAATGGAAAGAAAATGAGCATTTGTATCGTGGAACTAAGTAGCTGTGAAGCAGCCAAGGGACTGCCGGCATGATTGCTGTTTACATCTATTTTTTCTACACGCTATATCCTAACTACTTTTTAATTTCTTCTCCCATGGCCGATCTTTTCTCATTCCTTAACAATGTCTCCGATGAGCCTATTGACGAGCCTGCGATTGAAAACGATGTCATGCTGGTCGATCCACCAGAGTCTTCAGCAAAGAAACGAAAGGCTGAAGTAGAAAGTCAAAATGGCGCTATTGACTTGAACGCAGTGGAAGAGCCTGTGGGGAAAAAGCCTCGCCTTGATGCATTAAATCCTGTCGTTCTGGACGATTTCGAGACAGAGGCTAAGCGTGAAGTAGCTGCGAGTGCTGGACTACAAGGGAGTGTCGAGACAGGCCGACTTGAGCTTCGACATCAGGTATGTTTCCGTTCCATTATTACCCTCGTCTTTCTTACTCTTGTTTAGGTCCGTCACCAAGTTGCAGTGCCTCCGGGATACAATTATACACCCATAACGAAGCATGTACCACCCGCAAAACCGGACCGGGAGTACAAATTTGAGCTGGATCCTTTCCAAAAGGTGTCCGTGTACGCTATACAGAGGAACGAGAGCGTCTTGGTGTCGGCGCATACAAGTGCTGGAAAGACGGTCGTTGCCGAATATGCTATCGCTCAGTGTCTGAATAGAAAACAGCGAGTTATCTATACAAGTCCCATCAAGGTCGGCCCTGTTTCACAACATATTCATGCCTGCATTTACCGACTCACCAGGCTTTGAGCAATCAAAAATATCGCGAAATGCTGGCTGAATTTGGTGACGTCGGGCTCATGACGGGAGATGTTACCATCAACCCCACCGCAACATGTCTGGTGATGACCACAGAGGTACAATTTCACCGTACAGATTCCCGTCTTTCCTAAATGCCTACCCACAGATTCTCAGGTCAATGCTCTACCGTGGTTCCGAGATCATGCGCGAAGTTGCTTGGGTCGTATTCGACGAGATCCATTACATGCGCGACAAGGAGCGCGGCGTTGTTTGGGAGGAGACAATTATCTTGCTTCCGCATACCGTTCGCTACGTTTTTCTTTCTGCGACCATACCAAACGCAATGCAGTTTGCTGAATGGATATGCAAGTCGCATGATCAGCCATGTCACGTCGTGTATACGGATTTCCGACCGACACCATTACAGCATTACTTGTTTCCCGCTGGTGGGGAAGGAATCTACTTGGTTCTCAACGAAAAGGGAGAATTCAAGGAGGATAACTTCAGTAAAGCTATGGGCCAACTGCAGGCCAACGCGGGGGAAGATCCGGCGGACCCCCGTGGCGGAAAGGGAAAGAAGGGAAAGACTAAGAAGGGTGGAGAAAAGAAAGGCATGTCATTGATCATTACTTTAATGTAGGGAAGAGTAACAGTTTCCTTAGGTCCCTCGGATATTGCGAGGATAGTGAAGAAGATCATGCAAGGCAATTACCACCCCGTCATCGTCTTCTCCTTCAGCAAACGGGATTGCGAAGCCCATGCATTATCACTGACCAAATACGAATTCAATTCTCAGGATGAACAGGAGCTGGTGAACAATATATTCACGAATGCCATCGATAATCTCTCGGCAGACGATAAACAGCTCCCGCAGATATGTACCCTTCTACCTCTCCTACGACGAGGAATTGGTATCCACCATAGCGGACTTTTGCCGATCTTGAAAGAAGTCATTGAAATCTTATTCCAAGAAGGTCTGATCAAGGTCCTCTTTGCGACGGAAACATTTTCCATTGGATTGAACATGCCTGCGAAAACCGTTGTGTTCACTGGAACACGCAAGTTTGATGGGAAGGAACAGAGGAGTATATCATCAGGAGAGTACATTCAAATGTCCGGGCGTGCCGGTCGACGAGGCTTGGACGACCGCGGAGTGGTGATCTTGATGTGCGATGAGAAGCTGGAACCGGCAACAGCGAAGGAAATGATCAAGGGTGAGGCGGACCGTCTTGATTCGGCGTTCCATGTGGGATATAACATGGTTATGAATTTAATGAAAGTGGAGGGTATCAGTCCGGAGTACATGCTCGAAAGATGTTTCTTCCAATTCCAGAGTAGCGCTGGTATTCCACAGTTGGAGAATGGTGCGTGCTGTATCAGTATCTGAGGTTCATGCCTAACACTATCTTCAGAGCTGCGGAAAGAGGAAGAAGCGCTTAAAGCCTTTGTCATCGAAGATGAGGAGCTTGTAGTTCAATACTATGACTTTCGACAGCAGCTCGATCAAATGAGAGGAGATTTCAGAGAAGTGATCACTCATCCTACGTACGCATTACCATTCTTGCAATGCGGTCGACTCGTTAAGGTCAAGTACAAGACCCTGGACTTTGGGTGGGGAATCATTATAAATTATCAAAAACGCCAGCCACCAAAAGTGAGTTGTTTTTTTTATCACATAGTTCCTGTGAACTGACCTAGTCTTAAGAATCGGCCGATGCCTAAAACAGACGAGATTCCGCCTCACGAGCAGTATGTCATTGACGTTTTACTCAATTGCGCGGCTGGTAGCAGCGTTTCCAAAGACAAGACGAATATTGCGGCTACACCAGGAGGCGTGGTGCCATGTCCACCGCATCAGAAGGGTCAACCACTAGTCGTTCCCGTTCTTTTATCAACTATCGAAGGGATTAGTCACTTACGGCTATTCCTTCCCAAAGACTTGAGATCTTCCGAGTCTAGGGATACCCTTTGGAAGAGCGTGGGTGAAGTGCACCGTCGTTTTCCAGATGGTGTACCCCTTCTTGATCCTGTACAGAATATGGGGATAAAGGACGACAAGTTCCTTGGTCTCGTGAAAGTGAGTGTGTGCTGTTAACGATACGTACATCCATCATTGATCGCGAATCGCTCAAAGAAAATCGAAGCCATGGAAAACCAGATGTTCAAGAGTCCTCTGCATGATGATAAGCGACTACCAGAGCTGTACACCCTGTATTCCAAAAAAAGGGATGCGCAGGATCGGATAAGAGGGCTGAAGAAGCGGATACAGAGTACGCATGATGTGTTGCAACTGGAAGAGCTCAAATGTCGGAAACGTGTCCTTCGACGACTAGGGTTTACGACGGCCGAAGACATCGTCGACGTCAAAGGCCGGGTTGCGTGCGAGATTTCTACGGGGGATGAACTGCTGCTAACGGAGCTGACATTTAACGGTGTCTTTAATACACTGGAGCCCGAGCAGTGTGCGGCACTGCTGAGTTGCTTCGTGTTTGATGAAAAGGTACATAGATCGGGTTCCGCGTAGCTACTAGACATTGATTACATTTTTAGAGCGAACAGCAGACAAAATTGAAGGAGGAACTGGCTGCTCCGCTTCGCGTTATGCAGGAGTTGGCGCGACGCATAGCAAAGGTGTCAAAAGAATCGAAGCTTCCAATGGACGAGGACGTGTACGTCTCCTCCTTTAAGGTGGAACTCATGGACGTGGTTATGCAGTGGTGTCGAGGAGCATCTTTCTCTGAAATATGCAAAGTTTGTTTTTTTCATCAGCTGTTCCGTTTTTCTGGCTGACTTGATCAATCAAACAGCTCACCGATACGTTCGAGGGAAGTCTTATCCGCGTCTTCCGGAGACTGGGCGAACTCTTGCGACAGATGGCTCAAGCTGCCAAGGTTATAGGAAATGCGGAGCTTCAACAAAAGTTTGAAAAATCGTCTGAAATGCTGGAAAGGCCCAATTCAGTGATTTTCTGCTCGTCACTTTACCTGTAGACGCACCTTAACTTTGTGAAATTTTGGTGCCGACTGATCAGGCTGAGACATCCGACGCCCTTCAGAAACACAGGTTTATATATTTCTGCTTAAAATGTCGTATGCAAACCGCACCCTTGCCGTAAAAGCGGTCGTCCTTGATAGCAACTTTGGGCAATATGGACAGAATTTTGACTGGCTTGTCTCCATTATGCAGTGGAGTCTTGCCTACCAGGAGCTCTACCTGAAGACTCGGGGCAAGTGATCCCCGTTCGTTGAGGAAGAGGTTCCGCGTGACGATGAAGACAATCGTATCAACTTGAAGGTCCTGATAACGACATGAGCTTTCTGTCTCCCTTTAATTAACAGTATGCATCTGTTGCGGACTCGCCCTTTTATCCGCAGGGAATATTCAAAGGCTCTATACGACATAATTCAGGCGGTAAAGACGGGTAACGAGAACATAACCGTAGGATAAGGCGGAGCCGGAAGAAGAGCACGCCGACAAGGCGTCACTACTGGTTGATCCAGCTGTCAGTGCGAAACGCTCTCGTGGGGAAGTGTCAGATGTTGTGGAGGTCAGAGAAAGAAAGAAGCAGCATCTGCTGGCCACCGGTACAACATTTGATGCTGCCAATCAAGTCAGGATTACCGACCACAGGGCTGGTGACAAGGTCTTATCAGACTATTTCAACCCTTTTCAGGGAGTTGTTAGGCCTCTACTAAATGCTCACAAATGTCTAGCACTGCTCCCACTGAGGTCTGAGTCTGGATTCTGAGTCTGGGTCTGGTTTCAGTATAATAGTATGATAAGAATAATGAGGTAGGCAATAAGGATTTCACAAAGGGGAATAAGAGAGTATGGCTGGTAGAGATAGTCTGCCTGTGTTGGGCAAGAGTATTTGCACCAGGTAGTCAGAGAGTTTAGCAGATGTATTAAACCATAGCTTAAGACTGGGGTACATTAGTGTGTACTACTGCTTTAAATACTGTCTAAAGAACTCTATGCCCTACAGGTGACTATTGTCTGCTTTCCATGCCCTCTGCTCATTGTCTGGGATAACAATGACTGTGCCCTTGCTTTTGTTCATCATTGTTGCTCTGCTATACTATTGCTATTGTGAGTTTTCCATATGCTACAGTTTCTATTGTATTCAAGATGTGGGATGGTGGTAGTTACTGCATTGTTTCTTGTCATCTTATTGTGCATTGATGAATAAGGCATAGCCATAGTGTTATCATGTCTTCATCATCCTTTGTAAGGTCAGCCTGGGGTTGGGATTGGTAAGCATCTGCTTGCTAAGTGTTGGCAGGTCATGATTTAGGGGCAAAAATCATGACAGGAGTTGAATCAGCACCAAAAATTAAAGGCATCATCATCAAAGGCCATTCAGATATCAGTAAAGTGTAATCACCTACTTGCTGGATTTGACTGATTTTTGAATATAGGAAAGTCCATCTTCCTCTATTATATCCTTCTCTTATGTTCACAAGTGTCTAAACTGATAATTCTGGTCACTCATCCCAGCAAGGTCACTGTATTCCTTCAACATAGCATCTTTTCAATATCAATGGTAGATTTTGAGAATGTGATACATGTCATTTCTACCACTGCCTGGTGTCTTATAGACAACAACAACAGTCTGGAAACTATCCTGGAGGTCATCAACATCTTATTTTTCATCTTACAAGCAGCATTATCAAACAGAAGACATCTTTGATGGCAGAACAAGGCACTGGGTGTCCACTGGTATGTCATAACACCATTCTCTTTATCAAAACTCATAATAGAGTATGAGAATTCTGCTACCCTCTTTCTTTACATTTCTGAGCAATTATGATAGATGAAATCAAAATCTCATTAAACCTCTCTCAGAAAGGTTGCTACAAGAATAATATCAACATTAGATGCTTTCAGCTCACTTTGCTTATCAGCTGAAAATCTTGATAAATACAGCATATTTGTGCAATTTTGATCAACTGAAAAAGCTGTCACATAGCCTTCAAGGAGAATTTATGTTATGCACATGCTGATGGCCTCTGTTTCACACTGACTTCAACTTCTAAGTCCTCAACCTACTAAGCCACACTTCACAGTCCATTGGCTTCCAGCCACTCATTATATGCCCACTTTATTTGTATTTCACTTATTATTTCATATCTCAATTTCATATAATAATTCTGAGTGTGATAAATATAGTCCTACTTATTATAAATGTCTGTGGGCTGGAACTAAAGAGCATGTGATATGTGCATGAAACAATAGATGTCATTTATTGGCAAGGTGTTGGTCATGAGCTGTAGCATAATAGCATTAGTCATATCAGCAATAGCATCATCAGCAGACATCCATTTCTCATTTACCTATTAGTTTGATTCTGGTTCATATTCCTTCCACTTGACAAGGTAGTCAGTCATGGTAGTTGGTCCTTGGCCACTGCACCCTCATGTGCAGCAGAGGTAAGAGTCAAGAATTGTCTTGATCTCATACAATTTCTCACTGTCAACTAAGTCAGGCTTGAGGAGAGGTGGTGTGCTGCACTATGGTTTCATGAGCACCAAATTTTGGTTTTTCTGGCTCTAGATCTGCCAGAGCATCAAGAGAGCTGAGCAGCAAGCATCATCCTGCCTCCAAAAAGAGGAACCATTCTCAGCTATGGCTCAAGCAATGGAACACTGATACAACCTGCCTGAGGATCTGCTGTGCAATCAACAACTCACACAATAATGATAGATGGCTGCCTGCTGTCCATTCTCTTTGTGTCTGATATGCAATATTTAATGCTATACTGGCATTTAGGAGCAGATGCTTATCAGCCAGAGCAGGTGCATGAATGAATACTTCATCTGATTAGGAGTGGATTGAGCATGGAGAGAGAGAGAGGAGAGTGGCCTAGAGGCTCATAGGAGCCATAGCTGATAAGGAGATGAACCCTTGGACTCTCAGCATTTAAAGATTAATCTTGTAGATAGAATAGAGACCAACTTTTATAGTATAAAGCTGAGGAATAAAATTCCACTAGTCTCCTACAAGCCAAAGCCATAAGCATACCTAGAAGCCTTTGAGCCTGGTATCACACAAGTTGACAGCTTAGAAGAATTCTTGTTACCTCTCTCTTATTCCTTTCATATTTTCCTCATCTGCAAAACTTGAGAGTGGATGCCAGAGCTTGTTCTACCAATGAGCCATTTGCTCCAGGTGGATTCCATTGGGTCTGCTCTAAACTGCTGGATTTTCTCCTTGCAATTATAAAAGGACTTGCAAGAGCAGATACATTCTTCTTGTATCAGGGAGTTTGCTAGCCTTACAGCAGTTGTTTTTAGTTTGAAAATGTGAATAGTATATATTGAGAGAGAAGGGCTTTGTTAAAGACTGGATGGATTTTCCAGTCAGTTGGAAGAGTGAGTTTGTAGGTGGAGAGGCCTATCTTTATGGTGATTACAAATGAGCCTGTATATTTGTCTGAGTTTTTGTTTTGAGTGGAAGAGATGAAGGTTGGTTGTGTCTAATCAGACTTTGTCACCAACTGCATATGCTACAGAGTTTTTGCATTTGTCATATTGGAATTTCATTGCTGTAGTGGCTTTATCAAGGGCTTTATGAGTTTCTCTGTGGATTTGAGATATGTGATCTGCAAATGTGACAGATGTGGGGGTCTGTGCAGAGCATTGGTCTGTGGTTACAATATTAGGATGATAGCCATGATTGACAAAGAAGGGGAGATTTTCCAGTAGCCAAGTGGATACAATTGTTATATTAAAAAGCAGTGAGCATGAGCCACTCTGTCCAATCATCCTGTCAGTAGTTGATGAATATGCATAAATACTTCTGGATTTCTTGGTTAGTACATTCTGTTTATCTATTGATCTGCAGATGATAGACTATGGATGTATTGCTCTTGACTCATAGTGAATAATACAAGTCCATCATGAATTTGAAGATGAATTGAGGTTCTTGGTCTGAGATTACTATCTGGGGCATACCATATTTGGTATATATCTCATCATGTAATATTTTTGCTCATCTCTCCAAAGAAAGTTTCATAGTGCAGACATGGAAATAATTGTCTTTGAGAAAGCAGTCCACAATGACTATAGTGGTGTCAAAGCTATTGCATTCCAGTAGGCCAGTTATTATGTCTACTGAGATGTGTGTCCATGGTTTCATGGATACTTTGTTTGGATGCAGAGGGGTGGCTTTTGTTAGGAACATGCCAATCGAGTGGGCTTGAATGCATGCGCGGAGTCCGGCGGAGTGCGTGGGCGTTGACGAAGCTATTGGCAACATCACCCTTGAGTCGGGGCCCAAGGATCTGGATGGACAGAACGGAGTTCTGTCAGAGAAGTGAACAGGAGTATCCTTCGGAGCGGAATCCGACGGGTGAGATAGGGAGGAGTGAGTACGAAGTGTAGATGGCTTATCCAAGTTGATATTCGAACTGAGTAGTTACGGTGATATACATGGCTTTATATACTAATGGTAGCTAATTCCGAGTCGGGTTCCATTGGGTTCTGGTGTGAATATTCGCTACCGAGTTCGGGGTCTAGGTATTATAATGTGAAATACAGATGTGAAATGATAATGGTGAAATGAAATTAGTAGGTAATGGGAAGCAGCCAGAGTCCGGTGGGTAGCGTGATAGAATTCATGGTTGGTTGAGGTGACACAGAGGCCGGTGGCATGTGCGTAACAGTATCCCCCCTTTAGCGTTCTTGCCCTCAAGAGCGCTGATCCCGATGGCCGGTGGGGCCACATGGAGGATTGTTGGTGGCCATGGGAGTTTTGTATCTTGATCTGAAACCACCATCATCGCCTATGTCATCGCTCACCACGTATCGTCGCTCATGCACTCCCGAGCCTCTGGTGAGGGGATCCACCCCCGATGGCCCTGAAGAGGCCAAAGAATTGTTTCGTCTAGAATGGGAGGCTGCGGAGGAAGAATACGCGGAGGCTGTGGAGAGTCATGTGGAATGGCAAAGGGAGCAAGAGCGGGAGGAAAAGGTCCAGGCAGACCATGTGG